TTTCCAATTATTATTGTCGCCGCCGCGGCTAACGAACAAAACCGACCGCCGAGGAACAAAAATCACGCTCGGCCTACCCCCCGCCCGCCCGCCCACCCGCCGACGACGAAGACTCGCGACGTTTCGGAAATTTATGTCGCGCCGGTTAATCATCCGCACGAGCGCTATTTTTGAATACCCTCTTTCGGGTATGTAACCTAAGTTCTATAACCTATATAGCAGCTCAGACTACCGAGATCGGGAGTGCACACCCCTTCCTTATACCTTGCCAACCGACGTCACGCCACAAACGCAGGTTTCCAATTAGACGAGAAAATAACAATATTTAATAATATTATGTGCTCGTAATACCATTGAGTATAGTATCTATACTCAATGGTAATGCCTACCTAAATAGTGATATACGTCTTGTATTGTATCGTAATATTGAATTTTTATACCTACATATAGTATACAATATAATAAAATATTGTAGTAAACGCTTTCGTATTTTTACCGTCCTTCTATCCCGAATTGTAATAATAGGTGGATAAAGTCAAATAGGCGTAGTCTGTTTAAAAAAAAGACATTATACAAAACAGAATTTACCTTACCACGCCCCTCGGGGAATCAAAAACAAATTTGTTGGAACTTACGTGTTTCACCGAGTTAAAAACGATGGTGCAATTAGAATACGTCACTAGGACTTTATTATTCGTCACGGAAACACATCCAATCGTGGCGTATGGCATATAAGTGGTAACACAGATAGTATGAACTATGAAGTCGGGTTCGCAGATTGATAATGCAGCCAAATGGTTGCTTGTTAAGCAATACAAATATGCACATATTCCATAAGACATAATATTATAATAATAATATGATAATATAATGAGGAATATCTTTATTTTCAATATAATACAATAGGTACATGATAATATTATAACCCTTATTCGCCTCTTTGGCTATATAATAATTTTATGGTGCACCACCTACCTTTGTGTAGATATAATGGCGAACTGGAGTTCCAGGATCTGTAGTTAAGTATAAGAATATAACAAGAATAACAGTGGCGATCCCGCGGCACACTCACAGCTCAACCGGTAACCGCACGACGTTGAACACATTAAAAAAAACATAAAATTCACAGCAACCACACGAACGACAGTACATTTCCGACCGGTTTGATACAGTAATGAATAGTTCTAAAACGGGCATAGTGTTATTATAGAAATGATAATTTAAACGTAACCGACAATAATGAAAATGATGACAACTTTTGTGCCGGCGGACAGTACCAGCTGATGACTAGCGCTGAACCCATAGAGTAATAATTATTGGCTGTACACAAAAGCTCTACTCAAGGCGGGTTTCCACTACACACGGATGCGAGTACGTGCATACAAATCATTTGCTGTGATTGGTTGTTTACGTTCAGTTACCACACGGTTAACCATGATACCGTGTTGTTGGACATAGCTGAACATTTTTCGTGTACACGGCAAACGTGTATAGTGGTAACCCGCCTTGAGAAACGATACAGACTGTTAACATTAAAATGGTAACATAATATGATAATTATACTGCGTCGCATGCAATTACAAAATGTAAGTAATCCAACTGGCAGGTTGGCGATCCTGTATAAAATGACGATGACCGGGTTAAGTGGATCAACGATTTAAAGGGACTAAAGGTGGGTTTCCACTACATACGTGTACGTTTACGTGCATATATTGACCGGATACGTTCGCTATGAACGGTCTCATAAACGTTTCCCATCGGTTGATCGGTTAGCATTGGTAACATATTAGTTACCTCGTATATTCTTATGTTATCAAAATTGTTATCAATATAGAGCCGTGTACACGTGAAAAGTTGAACAGGATTCAACTTCATGGTATCATGGTCAAGCCTGTGGTAAGAACGTATAACACTCTGGTATACCAACAGCTTACCATGTATACCAACCAATCACAGAAAAGTATTTTTATGCACGTACACGCACACGTATCTAGTGGAAACCCACCTTAATTATTATTTATTTATTTAGCCGGATTTACAGCTGCGTTGTGTGTCGTGTCGTGTCGATCAAATCGCATTGTGATTGGATATTACTTTTTTGGTATCATGTAATAACCAAGGTGCAACCGAGTATACCTACCAAGAATTGACTACTGCTCAACTTTTAAACCATATTGGTTACCAGTCGTAACCATATAATAACCAAGCCCTCTCGACAGCCCACGACACACGAAGTAGGTAGCTGTGAATACGCCTATGTCTAAACTTCAAATCATTTATTTTCGGAAGAATAAAAATGTATAATTTCTAGTATCCATGGGCTTTTTCATTCATCAGTCATCACTGCTTGTTTAAAATTATAATTAATAAACAAATCATTTATATTTTGATAATAATAACTACGTACACAATCATTATTGTTCAATTCAAGATTGCGTAATAATCTAATATGAGCTGCAAAAGTGACTTATTCTCCGTTATCTTCAACGTTAAATTTAAATGTTTATTTTAACTAATCGGTCGTAACAGTCGTAACTCGTAAGTATATACTTTTACAGTCATTACTCATTAGTACTGAAAATATCAATATTATAGTAAATTACAAAGTGCTTTATTAGTACATTATAAATAATAATGGTTTAGGACCAATATGATCTGTATAGTATTTATGGACATTATCTGTATATGCTTTGTGTATGTTTTATGTTAAAAATAAATATTCATACACATAAAACAACTTTTATAGTTGAGAAAAAACTTTCAAGTATACGTAGACTCCATATAATATAATGGATATTTGAATTTGTCCGAAACGTTTTCTAGTGTAACGTTAACGCGAACATTGAATAAATCAAATATGTTATACACATATTTTAATACTTTAGTACTTTAGTAGTACAAATTATTATATAGTCTCTAAGCAAAAAATACTCTTATAAGGACGCATTACTAGTACATTAAAAAACCAATAATTTATATTTATCAATAAACACAAATAAAAAACGTTTCAATAATTGAAATTTGTATAGAAGTCAATAATAATATAATATATATGTACTAACACACTGATATTAATGGTTTATTTATTTAGAAGAAACTTGAAATCATTATTTACTGTTGGTCATTACACGCAATAATATAGTAGTTAGTACGTAGGTGCTTTGTTTTCAAACGACGAGCCTTATCAGTTATCACCACAATTTCGTCTGTTAAGTGTGGTAGGTAGGTACTAGGTAGGTAGGTATTGCTGGTAATTACTTAATACTATACCCATCGTAACGTAATTTCGTCGAGTTTAAAGAGGGTTTTTGCTTTTAAGGCTGAACTTGCAGTATTACTTAATTCCAAAGATTATTACATCATAATCACGTTTTATGATTTTTCTTACTTATATACCTATACATAGTATTATAATATGTACACCTGCCAATCAATTTCAACACAGTATATCGTCACAGCAGGTTCACATTCGTGACCGTCACTTCACTGTCAATGCCAACGATAATATATATAATTATTCCATTACATATTATTATACGTTTCGACGTTTCGTGTAGGTACATAAATGCAAAATACAAAGTGCACGGTGAATGAAATTATAATGCGTATATAATAATGCGTATTTTAATTCCGACAGTAGTTACTTTTGCGTGTAAAACTCTAGCGTTATAACCTATAAATAATAGGTATAGGTATATCATACACAGGGTGATACAGCAAGCACGGTCACGCTCTTTTTGTATTTTATGATGCATTTATATAAAACCTGATATTTATAGTTTTATAATATACATATAAAGACCATATTTTCAAATTCTTAAAATTTTATTCTGTATTATCTACTTAACGAGTGTCCTGTGGAAATGCAAACTTCTGTTTTTCAAACGAGAACTCACCTTACTACTGTAAATTGTTTATCTGATCATTTTTCCTGAAATCGTCGATGTAGATTAGCCCACCTAATGGTCAATTCAAAATTCGAATGAATAGTTTTCGAGTTATTTAACTTTGTGTACTAAGGAGTAAGGATATTAGGTCCATTATGATAATGGATTTGAAAGATATGGAGGCTATGATGGTAGTTTGAAAAATGTAATGATTAATATTAATCGAACAACACAATTTTAATAATTTATAAAAATGGTCCAATAGTATAATAAATACTAGATCCAATATTTCATTTTTTAAATATTTTTATAGAACCATTTTAATGATTATTATCTTTAGTATAAACATTTTAATAACTAAACTCATTCGAATTTTAATTTTGGTTCATCAGCACTTTCAAAAAAATATCCACTAAATAATTTACAGCAAAAAAGGGGCGTTCTCATATAAAGTTCTCATACAGAAGTTTGTATCGCCACGGAACACTCCTTAAGTAGTACAAAAAAAATTCAAGAATTTGAAAAAATTGTTTTCGAGGTATAAGTATTTAAAAAATCCAAAAATCAGAATAAACTCATTATTAAAGTAAAAAATGGGAGTGAGCATGCTTGGTGAATCACTCTGTATAATGGTAAATTAGTCAGTTTTATTTTATTTTATCTCATGTGGCCATCGTGTTAATATGGACACCGTGTTTATGTAACCGTTGTGCCAAGCACACTCCACACACTAAATCTGTGCAGAGTGAAATTGTAGCAAATGCTGTGCAACGATAATGCATTGAAAATATCAAAAGGTGCGTCTCCGCCGGATTTGGCTATGCGGTTTTTGGATACGAAAATTAACAAATAAAAAATTGATAATCCACTTTCTAAATCTAGTATTTTAATACTATATAATATATAATACTAGTATTATCACATTATCCCATCGGTAATTGCCAACCAAGACAAAAACAGCGACTGCAGTAACCATGGATATTCTTGGTGTTTTAATACTGTTTAAAAATAAAACAATTTTATTATAATTTAATGTTACGTTTATTTATTGGTTTATTACACAATGAGAAGAAGAATACCGTTTTTATTAAAATTTTTTTTGATTAATTTTCACTAAAAATCTACTTTTCGAAACAGTTTTGGTAGTAACGTGAAGGTCGACCTCTGCGATGCGGCCGACTTCGGGACAAATAGGACATCAGTTTTTTGGAAGACCCTTGGATGGCTGGCCGCAGACAGGTGAATTATCTCACCGGAGTCGTCGACACTGCCGTCTTCGTAGTAATTGTGTCGTCTTCGATTTTGTGTGGCATCGGTTGTGAAACTCACTCTGACCTGCAACCGGACGAGAGGACGCATAACGGTCAGTCACTGCAAGGCCCTCGAAACCATCCCGAAACTTGTTTGACGACATGACAGCCCTCTGGAGATCGGCTAAAGCGGTGGCATGATCTTTCGCCTGCAGTGTCAGGAACTGAACAGCGTCGGTCGAGAGGATCGTAGGCCTGGTTGAGTTGGGTGCCGAAAACCGCAGCGTCGCTTTTGGCGGAGACCGGATGTCGGAAGCACAGCGAAAGTAACGTACATTACATAATATAAAATATACGTACAAGGTACATAACTTAACGAACGTAGGGCCGGATTTTGACCAATTGCTCCCTTAGGCCCTTTTAAACACGCCACCCCCTTCAGAAAATAGTTTAAGTTTTCATTGCTCGTATGTAAACTTGAAGGAGTTTTAAAAAATTAAATAAACTAAAATAAACAATAAAAAAAAATAACACGGTAAAAACATATTTTAAGAACTTATGAACTCAAATTTTAGATAATCAACCTCAATTGTAGTATAATATATAAAAATTATAAAATTTGTATAGTTAGGTATTGATATATGACAGTTAATGAATTAAACGAATAAGAAATATAAAGTACCTAATGCTTAAATCTATTACATTTAGGGACGAACTTTTTTTGATACGAAATCATCTAGTATATTAATTACACATGTAAATCGTCGACTATAATTTATACCACGAAACATTTCAGGCTATATTATGAAATATTGAAGTCACGTTAGATCGTTAAATAAGTTATCCGACTCTATTTCTTCGAAAATTTTTTACGAAGATGAGTTTACTAGTATAGTTAACTAGGTACATAGTTAACTGTAATACAGCTCTGATGAAATATTTTCATAGTCTGGAGTCTGGACTATTATGAAATTAAATGCCGAGAACATTATCTTTATTAATATGGGAATTTCTTACGGTACCTACTTAAATATTGTTGATAAAATAAAGACAATTTAGAATTTTTAAACTTACTCTCGTAGTCTCGTGCCGTTATTTTTCCACACTTGTCACTGTTTCAATTGTTTTGATTAGATAGTTTTCAAACTCAATTCCGTAATATATTGATAACGCACAACTATATAATTTATAATTATAATCGAATGACGCTAAAACCCATAGGCTTATACAAGAATAGACAAGCAAAAATACATTAATTAGTCTTTGAAATATTTTATTTTCTTGGCATATTTCAAAATATTCATAATATTGTTATTGAAGTCTTTCTATTTCTATATACCTATTCTTTTGTGTACTATTATTATTTATTCTAATACCTGTCTGTAATCCGTTAGGTAGGTAAGTAATTAACTAGTGAGTATTAACTAGTGTTATAATACGCTGATTGTTGTGACTTGATACCTGTTATAATATTTTCAATTTAGTAATAGTGAATTTATTTCTTGTGATTTATTTCTTTAGCATATACTTCACACTGAATACTCTTTAAAATTCATCTCGCCACAATAAAAAAAAGGCCATCTTCAAACATTTTACGTACTAAGAAACTACACTTTATAATTTTGAATAGGAAAATCAGAATTTACAAAAATATTATCCACTATATAATTTAAATATGATTTTGGAAAATGATTATATTATATAATATGTTATTATTATCCACTATTAGTCCATGGTATTAGTTACATAATTGGGAGACAGTTCAAAGAGAGGTTTCGTGTAGATACATAAATGCAAAGTGCACAGTGCCACAGTGAATTAAATTATAATGCGTATTTTAATTACGACAATAGTTTCTTTTGTCTGTAAAACTCTCATGGCTTAACTTATATAGTTATATGTATTATAGACATACAACAAGGTTTTGTGCCTGTCCTATTTATCTGTTAAATATGATTTTGAAAAATTATTGTATTATGATATTACGATTCATTATTAGTCCTAAACATTATTTACTTAATTTAAAAACAGTTCAATATTATGCATACATATAGTAGATTTTTGTGAATAAATATGTAAGCTTAACTTAAATACAATTTTGAAAAAGTTAAGTTAATTATTAGAACTCAAAAATTAAGTACCGTAAAATGGGGTACTTTGAACAACGATCGTTAATTTTGAAATTCTTATTTTTCTTTATTTCAACGCTGACAGTACAATTAATATTTTGTGCAAGAATATTGTATTTTTAATTTCTTGTCAGTTGGTTCAAACTGTTTACTATCAATAATACAGTTTTTCTTCTGTTACAATAATATATTTGATTTAAATTAATTAAGAATGTAAAAATTAGTAAAATTTTTTAAAATAAACCTATAAAAAAATCATTAAAAATTATCAAAGCTACCTACGGTATCTTATGGTACAATAATTATCAAGCATCACAATATAAAGAATTGAAAAACATGAATTTAAATTGATATGAAGTTCAAAATAAAATGATCAAAAAAAACTAGAAAAATACGCTCCTGAACAATATTTCGATAAGTGAAGTCCATCTGGTTTTTAAATCATTGGTTTTTTATTTGCTTATTATTGCAAATTGTATATTGCAACACTGCGTGTTCGGGTGCGTATAGCAACGTTCGCGAATCGAACGCCGATTCGCGCGCGCTTGCGGAAGTCACAAACAAACCACAAACGCGTTTGCGGTCCTGAAACCAATTACCGTGTATACCCACGAAACGGCGGCTACCGCCGTCGGCGCCGTTTGGGATATATTATTGTCGTGGTCTCGCGTGGGCTTAATATAATAATATATTATTATTATTAATACCACGCGGGGAACTGGCAACCATAGTATATTATTATTAAAGGTGTACACATTTTATTGCATATTTATCGTATTGTTCTCGTGGTTTATTTTCCTTCTTTTTTCATTAGTGCCGTCTGCTCGGCTCGCCGTAATATCGTCGAATTATTGTCGTACAAAAAGCTTCTCGCGGTCGGTCGTCGCCCGTCGGAGATGCCGATAAACCGCACGAAATGTATAAAAACGACACGAGACGCTGACCGTAAATCACCGGACTGAACGACTTCCATTTACCCACCACAGGACGTAATTTGTTACTGTAGGTATTAATATTATATAGGTATATGATAACGTGTGTACAGGCATAGGTCATCCTCAACTGAGATTGCAACTGCGTAGGAAGTTTTCGCATCGCTATTGTAACAAAAACCTTGTTTTATAGTCCGTTAGCGCGTCGTTATTGTAATGAAAAAAAATTGAAAAATTATTAACATAAAATCCAACCAACTTTTCATAGTAAATCGAATACTGGGGAGCACATCTCCAATTGATAACATTTTTCAGGACTCACTTCAAACAGTTTTAAAAATTAATAACAAATATATTTTGATCCAATTTAAATTCGTATAAGCAGTAGCCAGTGAATAATATTGTCAACATCAAATTTGTATTATCTCAAAACGTGAAAATAAAACTTGTAGATGTCTATAGATCTTGCACTAAGAAATAATTATTGAATATGGAGATGTTCTGTAGTTTCTCTCAGGTCTTATGTTTCACTAGATTCTTAAATTGGTAATTACTAATTATTTATTTTCATAAAAGATAAATTATAGAAAATTCTTTATTATATAATTCTTTTTGAATCTGATATATTTGTATTAAATATGTTATCGGTGTATTACCAATCGTTTTGCCATACTATACCTTTTATACACTATGGGCAAACGACCAATCAAATTTTTTTACCTGTGGGATTAATGATGCGTATTATGAACACTACGGCCTCATGTATATAAGCTTGATATGGGGAATGAAGAAGTAATCGTATAATTAATATAGGGCGCATGTAAACTCCACCGATTGCGACCTTTTTAGACCTTTTTTCATGTAAACTCCACCGGTACGTTTTTTTTACCTGAAAAAAAAATGTAAACTCCACCGGTACATTTTTTTTACCTGAAAAAAAAATGTAAACTCCACTGGTACGTTTTTTTTTTTAAATTGTAATCCAAATCCAATTTGATTAACTAAGATTACATAATTTATGTGGGTGCAGTTTTATTATAATATATTTATGTATTTAAATACAATGATTTAAAAAAAAAAAATCATATAAAAATCAATTAGAAAAAAATAGAAAAGTCTATAATTATAAATAATAATTAACAATAATTTAAAAAAAAAATTATATAAAAATCAATTAGAAAAAAATAGAAAAGTCTATAATTATTAATAATAATTAACAATAATTTTTAAAAAAAATCATATAAAAATCAAATAGAAAAAAATAGAAAAATTATAATTATAAATAATAATTATTATTGTTATTGTTTGTAATATTTAAAATTATTCAAACAAAGCAACATATTTCCACGTTCACTGGTTAATTCACTTAATGTGTTCATTTTGAAATCAACGGACGCACTAAAATGTGTCTTCGAAAATATTTTATCGAATGTATTCGTTTCGCGATATCGCGATATGATTTTATCTGCGGTCGTTAAGATGAAGTTTAAGATAAGTCAGTCGAAAGTTGATGTGTATACACTATACATATAGTTTTAATTAGTGGATTTTACCATAGGTGGAGTTTACGTGTTTTCAGGTCAAAAATACGTATCGGTGGAGTTTACATTTTTTTTTCAGGTAAAAAAAATGTATCGGTGGAATTTACATGTTACAAATCCAACCCTAAAATCGACTACCTGTAAATCGGTGGAGTTTACAATCGCCCTTAATATATTGTGTTCGTCCTAACCGAGAAAAATTAAATACCAAATATGGTTGTCTACACGCCCACAGTGGCGTAGTTATGAGGGTGAGGGGATGATGGGGATGGATCCTCCTCGAGAGCCTTTTTTATGCTGTACATTGGCGCAAATAGGTGGGGGCTTGGGGAGACTTAGTCCCCCCATATTTCTGCCAAGTCCCCCCAGTTTAAAAGTCAGTAATTAGTACTGAGCATATATAATTTTTAGAAAATAAATTTTTATATGAGGGGCTTTAGTCCTCCCAAAATAATCCGTCTATTTGCGCCTATGATGCTGTAATACAATTATAACATAAAAACAAGT